GAGAGAGAGAGAGAGAGAGAGAGAGAGAGAGATCAGGTGTATGTTTTTTTTTTTTTTTTTTCCCTATCAAATGATTAATCAACGATCAATCAATCAGTCAGTCAATCAAGTACGTGGTGGTACAAAGTTTTGTTTTTTTCTTTTTCTTTTTTTCTTTTCATGCTCGACCGAATCCGGACTTGTCTCCAGGGGGGGGAACCGAAAGTTAGGAGGTTCGGACTGTGAACGTTTTGGCTGGACTCGAATGCAGGTAACCCTGGAAATGGATAATGTACCTGTGGGGCCCATGGCGGACTCTTGCTGAGTCGGCAAAGGCGCAGCCGACAAGTCCTTCAAATTTTGATGTCTCATAAACAGAAAAGAAAGCGTAGGCTGTCTATACTGGAGAGGAAATGGCAATATAGATAGAGCAGGGGGTATGCCGCTCCCACAAGCATTGACCACTGGGGATCAAGCGCAAATTGCCGCTCAATATGCGATCGTGGATCGGCTTCCCTAAAGCAGAAAAGGATGTGAAGGTCGACAGAGCTGCTGCCGTAGTAGGTGGGGCGGAGCCTCTTCACTACTGGAGTCTCGGTACAGACAGCGGCATCTGATAGGTTCTATTCTGATGGAGGTTGAACCACCTGTGTGCAGCCGAGGCTCTTTTTTTTTACAAGACTGATTTGTGCCTCGCGTCAAGGACAAATCGACCAGTTTCGGTGCAAAATTGCCAGGCACTGCCAGCCTTTGGCAGCCTTTTCTGTCTGGTAGGGGCGTGATCTGCAGTTTGCGCCGGTTATCCCACGTCAGAATGACATTAAAAAAAGGAAAAGAAAAAACAGAAAAAAAGGAAAAAGGGAAAAAAAAAAAAAAAAAAAAAAACAGAAAGAAAGAAAGAAAGATGTAGCGTGCACCAGGCAAACGTAAAATATTTCCGCTGCGCGGGTTTGGTTTTGGTTGGCGTGCAGCAGACATGCGGGTTGGGTAAAAGAGGCTCATCGGTGGGATTAGTGGTTCATTAGCTGATCGTTTGGAAAAAAATGGAAGGGAAAAAATGTTGGAGAGCACTTGTGACTCTCACCACCAGAGCCTGCGGGCCTGCGGGCCTGCCGGCTTGGCCCCTGTGCTGCCTTTGTTGACGTGTGTGGGACTGTGGTCATGTACGGTCTGTCAGTGGTGGGAGAACTGGGGAAGGGGGGTCTTCCAAAAGTGAAAAATTAAAAAAAACTGATGCTACCACTAGGCCATAAAGAATCGAGGACTTTATGGCGTACTGGTAGCATCAGCGGAGAAAAGGTGTGTGTACACTTGCCGTCAGAATTTTTTTTATTTTTTTTTTATTTTTTTTTTATTTTTATTTTTTTTCTTGTGGGAACACTCTCTGGTTCCTTCTATTCTGGGGGGCATTAGTCCTTCTATTCTGAATGGGGTGTAGGCGGGTGGTGTGTGGCTATGAAACATCCCAACTGCCTTACGACCGGTTGCCGAATGGGCTATCTAACCAGTTGGGACTCGGGAGGGCTCCTTGCACCCTATTAAAAAAAAAGAAAAACTCCTCCCCGCCGAGTCTCCCCATTCCCTCCCCCACCGGTTGCCCTGTCTTTTCCAGTACCTCCTCTTTTCTGCATGGTTATGGGAGAAGATTTTGGGTGTTAGTAAAAGTTTACTTAAGTTTGGAAGAAGAAACAAAACTTAAAGAAGTGTTTTTCGACTAGGCTGGGCCGCCGCACGGCCGGGCGTGCGTGGCCAGGCGGCCCCAGGCCGGGTGGGCTTGGGGGGGGTCCGCCCGGGAAATCCAGGCGGCCCGAAAACTCAGCAGGGATTCTTTTGTTTTTGTTTTTGAAGGCAGGGTTTTGCTGTGCTACCCCAGAGGACCCCAAATCTGCAATAAAAAAAGTGAACTTGCAGGGGGGTTGGGGGTGGTGGTTGAGAAGATGATGATGATTGGTGGTCCAGGAAGGCGGCCAGGGGGTGAGAAACGGTGGCGAGAAGAAGAAGAAGAAGCAGCGCAAGAAGAAAAAGAAGAAGAAGAAGAAGAAGTGCAAGAAGAAAAAGAAGAAGAAGAAGAAGCGCAAGAAGAAGAAGAAGAAGAAGAATAAGAAGAAGAAGAAGAAGCGCAAGAAGAAGAAGAAGAAGAAGAAGAAGAAGAAGAAGAAGCGCAAGAAGAAAAAGAAGAAGATGAAGAAGCGCAAGAAGAAGAAGAAGAAGAAGAAGAAGACAGGTGGTGGAAGATGGCGGGCAGGGGGTCATGAGACGGTTGCAGAGAAGAAGAAGACGAGGCAGCGGTGAAGAGGGAGAAGCAGAAGAAGATGGCTGGTGAAGGATGGTGGGAAGGGGACTCGAAATGGGAGTGAAGAAGAAGAAGAAGAAGAAGCACAAGTAGAAGAAGATGAAGAAGAAGCACAAGTAGAAGAAGATGAAGAAGAAGCGCAAGAAGAAGAAGATGAAGAAGAAGCGCAAGAAGAAGAAGACAGGTGGTGGAAGATGGCGGGCACGGGGTCAAGAGACGGTTGCAGAGAAGGAAAAGAAGAGGCAGCGGTGAAGGGGGAGAAGAAGAAGAAGACGGCTGGTGGAGGATGGTGGGAAGGGGGCTCGAAATGGGGGAGAAGAAGAAGAAGAAGCTCTCTCTCTCTCTCTCTCTCTCTCTCTCTCTCTCTCTCTCTCTCTCTCTCTCTCTCTCTCTCTCTCTCTCTCTCTCTCAACTAACCCACTTACCTTGGTGCTGGTGGGGGACCGCGATGGCTGCCTTTGGTGGGCGACAATGGGGTTCCGCGCGATGGCGGGCGACAACAGGGTCACGCGCGATGGCGGGCAAGAACGGGGTCGTGCACGATGATGGGCGACAATGGGGTCACGTGCGACGGTGGGCGTCGGCGGGCGTTGGTGGGATTCGTCGGAGTTGCCGTCGACGAATGGTGGCGGGCGGAGGGATGCGTCATGTGGGGGAGGGAATGGGGAGACTCGGCGGGGAGGAGTTTTTCTGCTGCGGAGGGAACGAGGGCCGGTAGGCCCGCCCTCACTGATTTCAAATCGTGGACCATCTGGGTCGTCGATCTTTGAGATCGACAGCCCAGATCAGTTCCGATTAGAAATTGGTGAAATTGGGCCTACCGGACCTGATTTCCCCCCCCCCTGCCCTGGACGGCCTTCTGTGTGCGCGAAAAGCCCCATGCGCCGAAAACCGTTGGAAACCCCTCCCCTTCTTCGATGTGCTGGGGTCGCCTGGTGGCCAACCGGCCAGGTGACCAGCCGCCCCCCCCCTCCACCGGGGCGACGACCAGGTCTCCAGGTTTTGGATTCTTTCTTTCTTCTTTTTTTATTTGATTTTTGATTTATGCGCAGGGACATGCTAACTTTCTCTCTCTCAGTAGGGTCAAGACCAGCACCCAACAGTTGCACTCGCTGACGGTCACGGTAATCTATCATGTATGCTGCCCCCTAAGGTAAACCTCAACGACATAGTGGAAGCTCACTGGATGAGACACCTCAATGGTGGCGACGCTGTCCGTTCGCAATGGAAGGTGAGTGAGCGCCTGGAGGACGCCGGATTCACATACGCAATTAAGCAACAAATACAAGCGGAGATCGGGGTGGGTGTTT